AGAACTCCCCTATTTAGGTAGATGAACTGAACTAATTCCATCTTGTATTAAATCTGAATCAAAGGAACATCAGAAATTGAATCCAAATGCTCTAGCAAGAGCTTCCATCTTATAAATTTCTTCCATCCATTTCAAAAGTAACTTTTATTTCTAGTCTCCCTATGGAAAAAGAAAGAGAAGCGTTAATAGAGGAAATACTTGTTTCCCAGATGTCAGGAGCAGCATTTTTCTCCTCTTTCACTTTCTGTATTTTATAGGGGACTGTTCCACATTTGCAAGAAAATAGAGACCAGCTGAGGTCATCGTCGTTAAATGGGGATTCATTTAAAAAGCTACCATGGAAAGGAAATGAGAGCAGGTAGGAAGTGTCAAATGAAGAACCGGAACATCGTTCATTCCACTGCTCTGGGCACATCGAGCACAGGAGCTCTAGCCAACCATCAAAACCACTTCTGCTATCAGCCCTGCTTGAATAGTCTCTCATTGGCTTATGCCTCAGTTCCTCCATTCCTTTACTTTCCAGTTTCCTACTGGCTGCCAGCAATTTGGATCTCCTCTCTGCTAATTTACGCATCTGTTTTCTCTACTTCTATTTCTCACGTTCCTGCTACTGCATGTTTCTCTACTTTTGCCTGCTCGTGTATATCATATTATTGTTTCTGCACCCGCCATGTTCATAGGGCAACCCATGAGAGGAATTGACCAGGTCTATAGTCACTATAGCATTACAGAGTTCTGCCTCATAGAACTCACCAAGACAGTGTTCTGTGGTTCTGGGCTCAGAATGGGTCACATGGGTCAAGTGGCAGGATAATGTGAATTGATAAAATAAATGGACTCCCATGAATAAAGAGAAGCTCTGAAATGGAGTTGTGGACATGAGGGACTAGAAGCGCTATGTCCTGTCAGGTGTTGCAAAACAAAGGCTTCCTCCTTAAAAAAAGAAAAAAAAAAAAAAAAAAAAAAAAAGCAAAGCATTTTTCTTGAGAAAAAACAAATAAATTCTATTGATTTTTCAATACAAGTCTCTTGCAATCAGGAGATCTGTTGGTCTAAATTCAAGTACAGATTCATTTTAATTTGCTAAGTTTATGTGATTGTTTATAATTTTTAGTATCTGCAGAGTACGGGGGAATATTATGTATTTCTATTTTGCTATTTTAGCAATTTTAGATTTGAAATGTATTTTATAGAATCTGATCTTTGTGAGAGTTAACAGTTCATTTTTTCATGTGAGGAAAAATGCCCACATGTCACTACCAATGAAGATGTATGCCTAAAAAAATGATGGGAGGTCTTGTATACTTTTTTAAAGAAATACTCTATGCCTTAAAGCATATGCTATTTCACAATAATTCCATTACACATGTCTTACAAAAACTTGTTTAAAATGTTGTGAAAGGGAAACATATCTAGTCTTGAAATAAATAGTTAATAAGTTAATTTGTGCTGAGTTTAAAAATTCATATCAAAACCACATTTTAGTGTGTATCATAAAATCTTCTAAACTATTTTATTATAATTTATGAATAATCAAAGAAAGTATATAAATATGTAAAGCTTGTTTTGTATTTCTTTCTGAAAACTTGAACTATTTATCTGAATATCTTTAACTGGGATCATTTTTCTAATTGGCATTCCAAATAAAAGTGTTTTTAATACATCATTAAACAGAATAAATATCCGTATTTGTCTCTATGGAAGAAATGTGAAGTAATCAATAAATATTATAGTAGTTTAATAAAATATTTTTGCAAATACTCAATGATTGATCACATTCTGCCCAAGTCAATTCCAGAAGAACTACAGAATGGGGAGGGATTTGGATATATCATCATGTTCCGGCCAGTGGGCTCGACAACCTGGACCAAGGAGAAAGTAGCATCTGTGGAATCATCAAGGTTTGTCTACAGAAATGAAAGTATCATCCCACTCTCTCCATTTGAAGTCAAAGTGGGTGTGTATAATAATGAAGGAGAAGGATCCCTGAGTACTGTGACCATTGTCTACTCTGGGGAAGATGGTAAGTTGTCCTCAGCTCTGGTTTTCTTTGAGACTCTATGCATAGTTTGTATTCCCTTGTTCCATTTTCAATGAACCACTCTGCTAAAGATGGCTATGTCTTTCTCTGGATGGTAGAACCTCAACTGGCCCCAAGGGGAACTTCTGTCCAGAGTTTTTCTGCTTCTGAAATGGAGGTTTCATGGAATGCTATTGCCTGGAATAGAAACACTGGAAGAGTGCTGGGCTATGAGGTAATCAATGGATTTCACAATAGCTCCTATTCAACAGTCCTATCCTACTAGCCTGTTGTTAGCATATGATAATGTGTGTCTAAAGCTGAAGCAGGGAATGAAGTTGAGACAGGGTAGGTGAGCCCCCAAATTGGGGCCTAGCCTGGGATGTTTCTTGTCCTTGCTCAAGACAGAATTCAAGAGTGAGGCAGTGGTTAAAACAAAACAAAACAAAACAAAACAAAACAAACAAACAAAAAAAAACAGCTTTATTGAGGCAGCAGTGTTATAGCTTCAAAATTGCTTCTGCAGAGCAAGGCTACCCCACAGGCAGTGTTCTAAGAGAGTAGCAGCTTGGAAGCAGTTCTACAGTCATATTTATACCCACTTTTAAATTAATTGCAAATTAATGGGTGAGTTACTCAGATTTCTAGAGTGAGTTACTCTAGAAATTAATGGATGAGTTACTCAAATTTCTAGAAAAAGGGTGATAACTTCCAGGCCGTTGCCATGGAAAGGGGTGGTAACTTCCAGGTGTTGCCATGGCAGTGGTAAACTGACATGGAACTGGTGCGTGTGTCTTATGAAGGGGTGCTTTAGCCTCTTCCCTGTTTCAGCCAGTCTTCAATCTTGTCCACAGTAAAGTCCTGCCTCCTCCCTCAAAGTAAGGGAGATCTTTCTAGGTAATTCAAAGCAAACAAATTAACAAATAGTAGCCATTTTTAAAGGCATACCAATTCAGTACAAGTAAGATAACTAAGCTCTAGAGATCTGCCGTACAGCTGTGCACACAGAGTCAACAATAATGCATTGTACACTTAAAATTTTTCAAGAGGACAGATCTCATATTAACTGTTCTTACCACAACAACATTTTTCAAAAGTGATCAGGTGATTATATGATTAATTATTCAAATTGCAGTCTTTTTTTTTTTTCATTGGTAAGAGGTAAAGTCTGCTCCTCAATCATCTTACACCATGGAAGAATTTCATTGAGAAACTTGCTCTGCAAATTGCAGTATAACTTGAAAAGATGTAATCATCTCAGAAAAGGCAGTTAAGTAAAGAGAAAGATACCTAGATTGTCTTGAGTCTGCTATTTTTAGTCTTGAAGAGTAAGGCAAATTACATTTGTAGGCCGTCATCTCACAAAGTCAAGAGATAAGAACATTTTAAAGGAAGCTTGTTCATCAATCTTTTTCAACTTGCAAATTCAGTGATTCACAAAATGGGTAACATAATTTATTTAGTTTTGGAGTTATAATAAATGTATAATCCCAAACATTCTTAATTTTGTCTTTGTATGTATGTATGTGTGTGTGTGTATATATATATATATACACATATATATACCTATAATCCTCTGATTCCAACAGAAAGTTCTGCTCTCAGGTGTCTTTTCCACTCCATGCCAAGAATGCCTTACCTCTTATCTGAACCCTAGTCACTTCTCAAATTTCATCCCTAGTCTCCTCTTCCTTCTGAGCTCTACTCTCGTCAATTCCTGATGTATTTTGTCAAATTCTTGTAGCGTATTTTTTCCTGTATCACTTCTTTGTAATGCATTCTATGACTTATTTTCACATATACTGTGGATTGTAACCTCTTAGCTACATGATAAGGGATTGAAAATAGGCACTTAATTTATTCTCTCTCTTTTTTTTCGATGTACCTAAAACATTGCTAATGCAAAGGTAGGGCTCAGTATAAATTGAATTATTAATTAATCTGTGATTCAAATAACTCTGAAAAGAAATGCCAATAGCAAGACATTATAATCAAAGTCTTTGACTGATTATATACAAATGTGTTTTTGTCTGACTTGTTATACGTCATTTGCTAAAGCTGGTAACCTTTAGATAGCTCATAAAATACTTTCTTTTGGTAATCTAAAAAATCAGGTTCTCTAATTTCCATTGTGAATTTGCATTCATGACTTTTTTCCTCATAAATATTACAGAATAACAATTTTGTTGTATAACCATTTTAATTAGAAAACGTTTTCGTCATCTATACTTCTGTCTTCTTCCCATATCCCTTGTGGTTGTGGTTGATAGTTGTGGGTAAACAATGATTGATAGTTATTGGGGAACAATAAAGTGCTTGTGTTTGGTTTCTAATTATCAGGTCTTATACTGGACAGATGACTCCAAAGAATCCATGATTGGTAAAATTAGAGTCAGTGGAAATGTCACAACCAAAAACATCACGGGGCTGAAAGCTAATACCATCTACTTTGCTTCTGTGAGAGCTTACAACACTGCTGGAACAGGGCCGTCAAGCCCCCCAGTCAATGTTACCACCAAAAAGTCCCGTAAGTATGCATACACTCCAGAAAATAAGGTTCATCTGTGAAGAGAAATCTATTCCTTTGCTTGATGTTCATTGTATTCCCACACCTCATTTCTTTACTACTTGGTTACTTTGGTTAGTTGGTTTGTCCCTTAAATATGGATAGCGGTTGAAACCTTTTGGTAACAATCAAGGTAAATGATTTGATCTTTCCGGAATTCCAAAAGAGGAATACTCCAAGTATATCAATGAAAGACACAAGAGTGTAATGTCTAAGACTGGCCCTGATGCCCTCCTAAATGCATTCAAAAACTGACCTCCCATCCTTAGAAGGTCAGGTAGTATTTATCTTTCAGTCTCAGTTGCCTACCTATAAAATGAGGAAAAAGTCAAATTTATGTTCTCATAGGTTTTGTTCAAGATTGAAAGAGATTATTAATAATAAATGCCCAGTACGCACCTTAGTAAATGCTTAGTAAATGGTTTTTTGTTTTGTTTTGTTTGTCATTTGAGTCCGAGTATATTCAGATGTGATCCTGCAACTGTCAGATACCTAGATCTTTCCTTTTAGGATGCCTTATGACTACAGCTTACTTGGAAGTCCCTGAAATCTAAGAATGAACTTCTCTGCTTTGTATTATATCCCTTGATAATCAGCCAGGTGATTTCACATAATCAGAATCTACTAAATAAAAGATGAATGTTTTTCATCTTTTGGTGATTGTTGCTGCCTTTGTTTTCTGACTGAGTCTGGTAATGCACAAATATTCCATAATATGAGGCACAGCAATACATTGGGGAAGGTCTGATCAGATATGACTTAGTTGTTCCTGCAAGATGATTTTTTGAGGTTGAATAATATTTACATATCTCATATATTATTAATGGACACAAATTATTCACAGAATCAGGTTTTTTAAAACACATTTTTTTCTCTCTGAATCCTGATGAATGAAAGATAACAAATATAGTTGCTGAATTTTGAGAAAGACTGACATATTCACTGCCACTTACAAAAATCTAGTTTACCTATACATGCCGTATTCTAATTACACCACCATATTTGGAAAGAAGAGGTGGTTGAGAAGAGTTTGAAAATAAAGCTATATTAAAGTTATTCCCTTTATGTGTATATTTGTCATGTACAAAAGAAGTTAGGAATCATCTCAGAGACTAGGCCCTTGATTAAATAGATTATCCAGTTATTTCCACATAACCAGATCAACGGTCAGAGATTCATGTTCCAATTCTGGGTACATCATTGACTCATGACTTGAAATAGGACAAGGCATTCCATTTTTCTGCTTTCATGTTCTTATCTATTAAATAGAAATTATCTCTGTCCTCACTGCCTTCCCAAATTATCCATGAGGCACAAACAAGGTACTGATTCTGGAAGTATCTTACAAAATACGAAGTGCTGTGGAACTGCAAAAGCCTGTGGAGCAAAAATTTTTAGCCAACTTTCCTCCAATCCACCCAGTTTTAGACAGGCTGGGCTGTGAGTTATTTTCAAGAATGGATTATTTAACAGTGAAGTTCTATTCCTTTTCCTGTTTTACTCAGTGTTGACTAAATCGATGAAGTCATTGCCAGATAACTTGGATGTGTGATTTGCTTCTTTGGTCTTTCTGGAGTGGTTTAGCTTCTTTCAGCTAATCTGCAAATCTGGATGAAAATCTCCAATCAATCAGCAGTTTTAAGATTTCCGAGACATTTAGTTCTAGTTAACTGAGAGATGCCAAACTCACAGAAACTCTTGTGTGTAATTCAGTTTCTATCTCAAGCAAATCAAGAGTGATTAGAAATGTGTATGAAACATTTAAAAAAAAACAAAACCGATTGTATCACGGTAGACTGACAGACATTTTAGTGCAGTTATTGAGCCAAGACTCAGGCCAACTTTTATTATATATAATCCCATCAACCAATTTAAGGTGGATTGAAACTTGAACATTGAACTAATCATTTACCTCAGGAAGAGAGAGATACATCCATATGACATATATAATACATATATATGTGTTTTAAAATTCTTCTTGAGATTTTCTGTAATATATATACATATAGTCACATCTCACTACTAATTGTATATAAGTACATAAAAGTGAGTAGCCCCACACTCCCTTGACCTCAAGGGCAGTCTTTGAAGCACCTTCTTCCCTGCTATTCTGAAGCACTGGGTGGATATGATTGCCCAGTGAGGGCACTGCCTTTCCCCAAGTTCACACAGCAATGAAGGGGGACAGATGGAGGAGAAGGGCCCTAGATGTGCAGGCAGCCCCACAGGGTCTCATTGGAGTCCTAAGGGGCCCAGGCCCAGCTACATAAGAGAACTGTTCCTCGCTGCTGGGCCAGTAGGTGCCCTCCGTCTGCCGCATCTCCCGAAGCTTCCGCACCAATAGTGCCAGCCCCACAGCCAGGAACAAGACGGCCAGGAATCAGAAGAACACGATGATAGCAGTGACGGCCCCCCTGAGACAGGGCTCCCTTGGAGCCGGAGCTGGTGGGTGTAGGCAAAACAATGCTACTCTCATTTGCAGAAGGGGTCGGTATTTGCGCCCAGGGGACCGGCCCAGCGCCAGGAGCAGCCCCAGGCCGAGCTGGGTGACGGGTTGACAGCGCCGAGGAAGGGGCTTCTGGCGCGCGCCTCTCCTACCGCCTACAGAGTGGGTCGTGGGCACCTGCGAAGGGGCACCTGGCCCAGGCGTCTTTGAAGTGGCTCTGTATATATTCTACATACATATCAGAAAATCTCAATAATAATTTTTTCTGTCTTCTGAAAATTTGCTGGTTTCATTGTCCATGCAACCTAAATTAAAAGTGTTAGTTTGTGCTAAATCATTCTATGTTTTTAAGCAGAAAAAAATCCTTGTTTTTCACACTAAATTTGTTCAATTGGCCCAATTGATCCTACAAATGGGTTGGACTGAAATTCACATCAAATGCTAAAACGATTATTGGTTTGTCTGATAGTTAACACATGATCAATTTGTCAAAGAGTACGAGATATAAATTTTCGGAAACAGTTTAATTAACAATGAGTAATTTCACCCAAGATACAACGTTAGAATACCTCTGCTAAGGAAAAAGTGAAATAATAATCAGAAATTTTAAATGAAGATTAGTGTTTCTTCAAGTATTCAGCTTGCTTAACTAAATCAAACAAGAAAAACCTCTGTAATTCCTGATTTCTTCTATGGATATTCAGTTTTAATATCTCTTAAATTTGACTCTTACCAGCCTATATGCTTCAGTGACCCTATCAAAACAGCCAACAAGCACCTGAGAATAAGAAGAATATACAAGTCTACATCCCTTTATATTTGAATACCTATCCAACCTCTCATTTTATTACTTTGAGGTTCTATATCACAGACATTGTGAAAGCAGAACAGTAACTTTTCTATTATTCTATTAATGACCTCAAACTCAGTGTTTTAAAACAATACAAGTTGGTTATCATACATTTTTGGAGATGAGGAGTTAGAAAGAGGTTTGACTGGGTAGAAATCCAGATGTGCTCAAGGGCTACACTAGCTTCGGAAACTCCAAAGGATAATTTGTTTCCTGTTTTCTGGATTTTGGAGACCACCCACACCCCTGGGCTTGTGACCCTCCTTGGGCTTGTGACCCCTTCTTCCATGTTCAATGCCAGCAACAGGAGGGTACCTTCACATCTCTGCCACTGACCCTCTGCTTCTGTCATCACAACTCCTCCAACTCTCACTCTCTTGCTTCCCTCTTTCCCTTGTAAGGACCCTCATGATGACATTGGAGCCACCTGAATCATCCAAGATTATTTCTTCACCTCCAGACTCTTACCTTAATCACATTTGCAAACTCCTTTTCCATATAAAGTAATGTGTCCACGGGTACTGGAGATTAGGATGTGATCATGTTTTGGGGGTTCCTTATTTTGCTTACCACAGTTTAAAAATATTGAGCACATCTATGTCCCCAGCCCTGTATTAAATTTATCATACTATATCTCACTTAGTAATTACAATAAGTCAAGGAGTTTGGTATTTTAATTTCTAGATAGGAGGACACAAATGCTTAGAAAGGTTTTGTCATGGCCACTGTTAGACTGATGAGCATGAAATCTCTTCATCCCACTACCACTGTGCCCCTTTATCATCTTCCTCCCTAACCATCTGAAAAGTTTCTCTCTCTGACTCTCAAATCATCCATCTAAACCTCAAACTACTTTGAAATTTTTCCTCCTAAAATGCCATCATACTTCTCTTCTCTTCATCAAATGTCATTGTCTCCTCTATTCCAGAGAATGAAGACTAAGAAAAAGGCAAGCAAGATCTTTCACAATGTGTCTCAAAGCTCCTTTCTATATCATTCCTCTTCTAGCCCTGACATCCCAAACTTACTGATCTTCTAGAGTTTAACATTCACTTACCTGGCTTCATGAAATCTCTCAGCTTGTAGTGCTCCTGCCAGGCCTATATATGGTCAAACAGTCTTTTTTCCACTCTATAACTTCCCCCAAAGTTTCCCCTTTAATGTATTTGTGTTTTGCTAAGAGTTCCAATAACTCTGGCCATTGTGAAGCAGTGTTGGAAAAAGTTAGAATGGGACTTCAGAGGGAATTGTGGATACGGATCCCTGCTCAGCTATGTACTATCTGTGTGCCAGATCTAATTATTTGATAACTCTGAATGCATTTTCTCATCTGAAAAACAGAGATGAAGATACTTACCTCTAGCGATTTCTCTGAGAACTAAAGGATATAATGTACACCACGGTGAGCCAGAGGCTGTCATACATGAAGGCTCAGTGCATGGTAACATGTGTTATTATACTCCTCCATTAGATGCAATTTCACTTTCTTTGCATTTTTTAAAGTAAGAAAACACAGCTACTTTCTTTCTCTTTATAAATTTGTTGCAGAAATTTTCTTTTTTTAAGGGTCATAGAAGGACATCCAAAGCATGTATGAGAAACAGCTTTAATGAAACATTGATGATAACCATGATTCCAGGTGCTACTCCTGTATGTGACTTTGATTTTCCATGTCCTTGAGATGACATCAAGATTACCTCTCAATAGTGGTAACTGAAAACATTCTGCATTCATCACACATTCAAACTGTCCCTGTCTAGATTTGTAATCTGATCTGATCTTCCACTGGAAAGTCTGAAAAAGCAGAGCTCACATTTACCAAAATCTCTGCCTGTTCTAATTGGCTAAACTAAAGAGAAGACAGACATGTTTTCTTTGTTTGTCTTTTTTGCATGATCATTCAGTCATCTACTCAAGAGATAGTGCCTCCCATGAGCCGTGCCCACAGTTAGGTGCTGAGGGCCTAAGAGTCATTAAACCAAGCAAGATCTTTGCCAACCGGCAATTTCTCTTTTAGAAGAGAGGCAACCTAAAACAAGAAAAAAAGACAAATGAATAAAATAATCATAAATTATGAAAAGTACAGTGAAGAAAATAAAAGAGAAACTAGGATGTACATAAGAAGGAGCATCTATATGGGATAGGCTATGTATTTTGATACAAAATTAAAGATAAAGAGAACAAAAGAACTTCCAAACAGAAGGAATACCATATGCCAAAGTTCTTAAGTATTATTGTTACTGTTGATGATGATGATGCTAGTGTCATTGTCCTTTTAAACAAATATCAGTGATTCATCTGTAAGTACCAAAGCCTAGTGGAAATGATGGATTTCCAAAAGAAACTGAGAGGTACTGCAAATATACTGTGATCCACACAGACATTACTTAAATGGAATTTAGATTTACAAGGAAAGAAAGAAAAATATTTACATCAATTCCAAGAAGAAAAGAAAAGTGAAACAAACAAAACACTACTTATATAGAAAGAAGTAGTCAGACGCAGTAACTAAAAGTGTTTGCAAATTTTGGCTCAATTTGGCCCTTGACGTTGACTGACTAGCACTTTGTACTAGATTCTTTCTTGCTGCAAATATGCAATCAATCCATATTTACACATAAAGGAAGCATTAAGCTTTTATTTTATCTTGCACTTATGTTGTTTCTCTTTTGCCCAAATGTCAACCCCATACTGTTACTTAGAAGTGTAACATAAGAAGTTGTTTTTGAATTGAGTTCACAGTGTGAACTACAGTTGAATATAAATGCCATCTCAAGAAAAATTGATTACAAGGAAACCATTAGAGGTGTGACAGGCTAGTTTAATGTTGCTCTGTCATTTGATTAATAGAAAATCATTTAGTCTTTGGAAATTGCCTGGAAAGATTTTAAAAATTAGAAAAGTGTTTATTTGCTGAGTTTACCATTGACAGACTTGGTACAAACATCATGACATGTGTTTTATGCTATCCATGTGACAGTGTTTTGGTTTGTCAAGGTGATAGAAATTTTAATTTTATCATAGATATTTGCAACCCAGTTTAATCAGCTATATCAAACCAGAACTGTAAACAGTGCTTATATTAAGGTAATGGCCTTCTAAAGCAGCTTTCAGAAGTTTTATTTTTCAAAATCAGACATAAAGGATTGACATTGGAGAAACATCCATTGATAAAAATAAGAAAGGATGTAGACTACGAGATATTCTAAGATAATTATCTGAGACTCTCCCATTTTATCTCCCTTTCTAAAAACATATAAACAATCCAAGTAAGAGCAATATTATTAAGGGGAAAACTTGAATATACACTAATTTGTATCTAAGAAGTGAATCATTTGCAAACTTCAGAATTGTATTATTAGCAGCAAACCACTTCGAACACAATTGAAAAATTGATTATGTCATAACACCACAGTGGAGAACTGCTACTCTCAGAAAAGAGAATTAACACTTTCAGAGTTTTTTAATATATATCACTAACCCAATGAGGAATGTTTCATATTTTATTTCATATCTCATCAACTAGGACTTACTCGTTTCATTTTATAATGGGAAAATCCAGCTCTTGGAAGAGATTGGATACAAATTCAAGTCCCTCTGACATCAAAGCGCAACTCTTTTCATCTCCCAGAGAGCAAGAGAAGTAAAACATTCTAAATAATCCATATAATTGGCTATTCATACCAAGGTACTCACTCAGAATGCAACTCTTCTCATTTTATGGCCACAAAAAGTTGTGCTTCTGCTTTGGTAGATGAGGACACAAATGCAAACATGTCAATGACAAAGTCATTGCCAACATCACAAACCACTCCTTTGCGTAGCTGGAAGAAATCAGTTCTGTCTCCTAGCCTGTTGATTTTTCCAATGGATTTATAGTGTTGAAAACAATACTTTTCCTAAAACAAACAAAACATACAGAAATACATAAAACATTCAGAATCCACATTGCCAATGACACTGAAGTGGTGAATTTGTATTTTCTCTTTATTGATTGTATAATGGTAATGTTAGTGCTGAATTTTAAAGAACAGAGATAAAAAGAAAAGTATCGAGAGTATACTAGAGATTAAAATTGCAATATCCTGTGAGAATTTTGATATTGTATCTTTTATAGCTGAGAAAAAGATTTAAAAAGGCACTGGAGGATAAGTTGAGGAAAGATAGTTACAAAATAATTATTGCTGTCTTTCAGACCTTTAGAAATAAATATGTTGATAAACATTATAATTGACAAATACATTGTACATTGACAAGCAATGTAGTGAATGCTTACTAAGCTAAAAGCTTTCAGGCCTTTAATTATGGGTTTATATTGTCAAGAAATGTACCAGGACATGGTCAATCCAATTGGCCTGTCCATCTTATAAATAGGTATGGATTGCTATGAGTCTGACCATGGCAATTGGCCTTGATCATAGGACAACATAATGAATGGATTGGCTGTATCGTGTCACCTACGGATCTGCCCAGAGCCCAGTGCATAATCAATACAGGCTGAGAAGATCACCATAGGACCCTGAGCAGTTTTCCTTAGCCATCTTATTGTACAGTCATTTATTCATCACATATGAATTGGATGTCTTCTATGTGCCAGGCACTGTGCTAGGGGTTAGTAATACAGAGTTGAACAAGGCACTTGCCCTCAAGAAATTTAAAGAAATACATAACCAAGAATAAATATAATCCAATGTGATAAACCTATAATAAAATATGAACTGAGCTGAGGCATAAGCATACAGGGAAACATTTCTCTATCACATCCCAACTGTACTGTAAGTGGCTGAGTGAACAATAGTGATATCCCAGTGGAATTGGGGTGGAAAGAGAATGTATGGTAATATATTTGAGACACCTGGATTCAGCAATATGTGAATCTTCCAGTGACACATAGGAGATTAAACAGCAGTTGAGTCAAAACTCCGAAAGCAATAGTTTCCATTTCTATCAGTGTTATAATTAATTAAATATTATGCTCATTCAGTCTCACAAATTCAAAAAAGATGTCAAAAACATCTTGTTGGGCAGTTTTATCTTTGTTTCCGCTTTCCAGATGAATTATTTTAAATCTCTCATTTCTTAAATCTAGTCACGTGGACTCAGATAAGCAGCAAGTTGTTCTGGAGAAACACTAGACTGGAAAGCAATAGGCCAAGATTCATTAGCTGCATGCTTTTGGATAAGTGACTTCCCAACCTGGATTCTAGTTTTCTTGTATGTAAAATTCTCTAGTTGGACTACATCCATTAGTTTAGAAGCCAGATTCTAAACCTTTCATCTCTTATCTCCCACCATCTCTCACCCAGACAACATTAATTTCAGTAAACTAAAAGCCTCAGTTTGGATTTAAAGCTGATACCCTTTGGGATGATCAATCAGTTTGTGATGACTTTTCCCTTTTCTGGGTTCCCAAAAGCTCCATTTACTTTAAATGGCATGCATCTTTCACATTGTCCGGACATAGTTGATTAAGCTAAGATAGACATATGACCAAATGAAGTTAATCATCAGCTTTCTCAGGGGAATTCTAACTTGGACTATCTCTGAACAGAGGAGGTTTTAAATTTCAGGTGTGGTGAACAGTCATGATTTCTGCCATGTACAGTGAGAATGACAAAGAGGTGCTCTCTGGCAAGATGAGCATGCAGCAGACCCTGCTTCGTTAAGCAGAGTGAAGACCGTGGCTTTGTGACAATGTTTTCTCCCCTCGGACTCTGCTGCAATCTGCCATGAGTTATAAGAAATATCCTTGAAAATTTACTGCAAATATTTTGCTTAAAATATCTTGAGTTAGTTGTGTTACAATTAGAAACCTAACTAATACAATGTTAAAAAGTAAAGAATTTTAGAAATGAACATCTCTGTGTTGACATACATAAAATGCTTGCAACTTGAATTTGCTAAACATGTTCATTGATTGATGGCCAAATGGAATCGTAGATAAAGAGACCCTCTGTCTGTTTATATATGATAAAGTAAACAAACTCAACAGCAATGATTAGTAAATTAATACTGGACATGCAGCAAGCCATTATTAATTCATAAGTCTGTCACAAAGGCATTCCCAAATGACCGGATTTGAATAAATTTGCTTACTGTGATTAGAATTAATATATTTCAAATGACACTGAAAACATTTTAGCCTCTTCTATGCAAATCATCGAAGACTTATTTTTTCTTTTCATGTTGATACATCATACAGTGACCATGAACTAATTAACATTCATCTGAATCTTGGATTATCTCTTTAAAGCTCCAAGCCAACCACCAGCAAACATTGCCTGGAAGCTGACAAACTCTAAATTATGCTTGAACTGGGAGCATGTAAAAACCATGGAAAATGAGTCTGAAGTTTTGGGGTACAAGGTAAGTATTTAGTTTTTCCTTTAATCATATCAATTAAGTTACTAAGGAATGAAATGTGTGATGCCCAAATAGAAAACAAATTGGCTGCATATGGAAACATTGGAATCTTTTTCAAAATTATTTTGAAAATACCATTGCTGCTTTCTAATTTTCTGTTGAAAAGGTTTTATATTCTGAGGTCCAGTAATGTATTAGGGAACATCAAAAAATCAAATTCCATAGGATGTAACATTTTTTTCTTCAAGTGACACCCCTTGCCATAATAAGATGATGGCTTATGGGGGTAGTAGATGTGATTAGAATGAGATCAAAAAATGTATCTAAATAGAGTTTTTAGAACTTAGGCTGCAGTATGATGTGATCTTTTAACAACATAAAAGGCATGTAACAAGAGTACAATCAAGTACCCAGAACAAATCATTACCATCAGTGACAATGGACATCATCTCTTGGCAGATATATATTCAACATTTGAAATGGGTCCAAACTGAACAGTGACTTTCCACAGCAAGCTCCAATGATAATAGCCTCAAGCTATTTAACTAATAGAGAGAAATCTACTCTCCTTCTAGAGGCATTGGCCAAAAAAATCCTCTTTTTCTTAACAGGAGCAATGGAATATAAGGGAAAGACATCACCTGGATATTTCCATCTGAGGAGTACAACATTTACGATGATGTATCTTTTGTCTTACAGTGTTCCAGAACAGTTGTGTGAACCTTAGAAAAGCAACATGTCCATGTTAACTTGATACTTCATTTTATTCAGATTCTGTACCGGCAAAACAGACAGAGTAAAACTCATATTTTGGAAACAAACAATACATCAGCTGAGCTTCTGGTTCCATTTGAAGAAGACTACTTAATTGAGATAAGAACAGTCAGTGATGGTGGAGATGGAAGCAGCAGTGAGGAAATTAGGATTCCAAAAATGTCAAGTAAGTTGAGTCACCATTGCTATAGTAGATTCTGAACCTAGACAGTTGCAGCATGAAATTCAGCTCTATGAAATCTTCCAGTTATGGTTTAAATGTTGGGTGATAAGATAAATTTTTAATTGTGAGCAAAAGGTGATGAGCCAGTTTTTTTAAGTTATTCTCCAAAATTGTAACATGCTTATACATTATAAATGGTTTTATATTTCCTCATTTGAAAACCAAAATAGAGAACAGGAAAAAGAACTTTGTGTCATTAGAGCATAATTCTATCACTCATTCTATTGTCACAAAAATCAAAAAGATTTTTCATAGATTCTTCTAGATCTTTTTCAGCAGGGATGGCATATATGAAGCGCATGTAAATATACACCCTTTCCCATGTTCATGGCAGACATCACTAATCAAGTGTGGCATTCTTAAGGAGCTGAGTCACAACTTTCAAGTCCTCCTCAAAACAATTTTCTAAGCCAACCAACACCAGTCAGTCTGACTTAGCATGCAATAAGAATGTATCATTTTTGCATTAGAAGAATTACTTACTCGTCTGCCTGAAGCTGTGATTGAGTGAAAGTCATTAGCATCCGATGTTGGCCAATCCTTTACGCAGACTTTGCCAATTTAGGGATTTTTCTTTTGCATTTTTATACTTAAATCAGACATCCTTGGACAAAGACATGGTAAGGCACTTTCTAAAATTAAATATAATGTGAATGAGACAAGTATAATAAAATACGTTACTAAAAGATAAATGATAGTATGAATTTTGGGTTCTGAAAAATTAATCTAGCAGGCAATACTTTATCTCAAAATACTTTTGTCTTATTTTTATATTTTGCAGGTTTGAGTTCCAGAGGAATTCAAGTCTTAGAACCTAGCATCCATTTTCTGTCCATTGTCATTGTGATTTTTTACTGTTTTGCTATTCAGCCACTTATCCGATGAATAAAACCATAAATCTTTGAGAGTTTTTTGAAAGCAAATCATTCTGTAAATATGCTCTCCAGCCTCTGACACAAGACGCGTTCTTAATACAAACTTGTTTGCAAAGAAAAAAAAAATGTATATTATTAAAATCTTGTAAATATCTATGGTACATTAATAAAACAATTTTAAACACTTTTGAATTTTAAAGTTCGCACATGATTACATGCATTCCTAGGTGCAACATTAATCTGGGGGGCTGTAACTGCTGTGTCTTTTAAGTGACTTATATGGAGAGTATAAATAACTCCCCTCAATGATGGTGATAATGAGTACAAATTTGCCTCATAGTTACCATAGCTCACATGCACATTTTCATGTACTCCAGACAATCACTTCAGTATTTGAAATTTTCACCCTACTTCAAAATAAAATACAATTATTTGTTTATAGTTGGGATTCTTTAAAAATATAAACTATTCCAAAGCACGGTGTGCTTTTATCTCTGAATCAAGTTGGAATAAGAAATCTTTTTACTCAATAATATTTCAATATACATGCTGTTCTTCTCAGCTCACTTTTCAGAAGGTTCAGTCATAATAAAGGCAGAAAAGGTATTTTATGGCAAAGAAAAATAAATGATGGAAAGTGAGCACCCACCTAAAATAATCTTCTAACAACTTGGTGTATATTAAGCAGTTGCTCATGGCAAAGTTTAACATTTGAACTGTTGCATGAACAAATCTCAGGTAATTATTACAAGTTGATTGCAATGTATGTGGCCTTATTTTTAGAATAAAACAATGTGGGAACAGAATTATTTGATCAAGTTTTCTACACTTTGGTCAAAATATTATTTTTTGCCAATTTTCTCGGCAGCTATGAAAATAATTCTACATGAACTAGGGTTTAGAAAGATTTTGCGGGTTGACTTTTCTCTAGGGTGAGCCTGTTTCAGTCAGTGGCCTCACTTCTTAGGATTGTATAGTCTGGAGAAAGTAGTCTGGGAGAAGGTAAGGTTAGTGACCTGGCCCGTAGAATGCTATGTAACCATCCCTTTCCTCTGCAAACAGCCTTGAGAGGTCAGTTCCTGCTGTCAGCCTTCTCTGGCTCCCAGCCAATCAGGTTTGTTGTCCTATAGAGCTGAATGTAAGAAACACTCATGTGAGTTTTATCTTCTTAACATGGTGCAACCTCTTAATTATGTTGAGAATATTTGAGCTATTCTCACAATCCTCAAATCATACAATCCTCAATACGGGATTGTGTCTTTTGCATGTCTGAAGTATTTTAGAACTCTTTAAAATACCCCACGTAGTCAGCAGCAGATGGACAATGGCTTTCATAGTTCAGAACTTGCTCCTTGCCTGAACAGTGTGTCAAGCACACAATGCAAATTAATGAGCCTTATTCTCCCCATTGCCATATGATCTGACTGTGCTTTTGTGAAGCAAAACAGATAAGCAACAACAAATACTGTTTGGCACACCCGTGTTAACAGCTGCCTGGCCAAGATACCTCTGAATTGACCAGAGATACCAGTGCTGGCATATGGTCTTAATGGTTTCCTTAATTTGGTAAGAGACGACATTTGTGTCCTCCTCCCCAAAGAAGAGATTGAGGGTTAAATATACTGTGAGATTTTTGTTTCTACTAATTAAGTGTATCAGATATACAGTCATTTGTGTGTGAGTTCAAAAGCTAAGTCCGTTTTTATCAATAATTCTTGTATGTTTGCAGATTGCTATTTAATTCATGATTTCTGGAATGTCAAAAGTCTGTGTTTGCAGTCTAACATATCTAACATATTATCTTTTCATCAATTCACTTAATTTTTCAGAATATACTTTGGCATTAATATTAAGCAGCATGGGCTTTGGTGCGATTTGAATCTGCCCTCTTAGTGAAAACTTGGACACATTTCTTTTAACATCTCCATTTCACTAATATCAGAACTACAGAGTATTATGTACATAAGATATTTGGCATGGTGCAAGGAACATTGTAAGTTGTCAATAAATGCAGCTGTTGTTATCTGCTGCTATGAATTAAATCCCAAATGACATGTTATTACATTTACATAGCCAATGTATTATGAAAATAGTTTCAACCTTTGTTTACACCAAAATCCAAACCAGCTTCAAGAAAAATGAATTGATCACCTACTCTCGATACTACATGGCACTCAAGAATGAAAACAATGGTGATTCTAATAACCCATTTCAGGGAAATACTCTACATGATGTATATACTCTTCTGACATTCAAGAAGGATTTCCAGTGCATCCCTGTATTGACTGATTAGACTGCTGTTATAAATATGATATGTCATTTCCATACTTCCTACAAAAAAGGGAGATAATGTGATTGTACCTGGAAATGACTGCAGAAAGAACCAGAAATAAGGTTTAGGAGACTCAACACAGTGGAAATATGTCACTATAAAGCTATGGACTGCCTAGATCATGTAGAGTTCAAACACAGCTTCATTTTTTCTCTTTTGTTTACACTATAATCCTCCCTGCTCAGTATCTCTTTTCTATCTATACAGCAGAGGGTGAGGAGGGCATGGCTGCTATCTTTAAAAACAAATACAGATGGTGAGGGATGAAATGGAACCTATATGGATTCTAAATGTAATAACATAATTACTACTTCTCATAGGTAAACCTAGTATTTTTATGCTTCTAAGTATTGTCAGTCTTGAGATGCAACATGGAGTATACACTCTTGTATTAGTCCATTTTCATACTGCTATGAAGAAATACCTGAGACTGGGTAATTTATAAAGAAAAAGAGGTTTAATGGACTCACAGTTCCACATGGCTGGGAAGGCCTCATAATCATAGTGGAAGATGAAGGAGTAGCAAAGGCACATCATGTATGGCAGCAGGTGAGAGAGTGTGTATAGAGGAACTACCCTTTATAATACCATCAGATTTCATGAGACTTATTCACTATCACGAGAACAGGAAAAAACCACCCCCATGATTCAGTTACCTCCCACCAGGTCCCTCCCATGACACGTGGGGATTAGGATTATGAGAGCTACCATTCGAAATGAGATTTGAGTGGGAACACAGCCAAACCATCTCAACTCCCTGTGTACAATTATTACTTCATGTGCTACAGAACTGCATATTGAATTCAGAAGAGATTCTGTTCTAGACAATCACATCTCTGTTGAGGTCACTACTTACATTAGTCAGGGTTCTCCAGAGAAACAGAGCCAATAGGGTATGTGTGTGGGTGGGTGGGGGGGTGTAGAGAGAGAGAGATAAATTATAAGGAACTGACTCATGGGATTATGGAGACTGAGAAGTCCAGATGCAGGAGAGCCTATGAGGTAGTTCCAGACTGAACTCAAGGCTAAGAACCAGGAGAGCCAATAGCGTAAATTCCAGTCTGAGTCCAAATCCAAAGTTAGGATGAAACTTATAACCCAGTTCAAAGACAATCAGGTAGAGAAGAATAATTGTCTCTTACTCAGCCTTCTTGTCGATTCAGGCCTTCACCAGATTGGATGATGTCCACCTGCAATGAAGAGTACAATCTGCCCTACTCCATCTACCAATTCATGTATTAATTTCATCCACAAAATCCATCACAGACACAGCCAGAATGTGTAACCAAATATCTGGGCACCAAATGGCCCAGTTGAGTTGACACATAAAATTAACCATCATGGTATTCTTTAGGGTGATATTAAATTATTCAATTCTGCTTTCATCAGCTTTTGGAATGAAATTATTTAAATGCTCCTCTCAATTTATTCATTTGTAAAATGATATGTTGGAATTACAAGATCTCAGAGTTCTTTTAAAACTCTAATTTTATATTAATTTTTGTGCAGAATGTGTGACTTCTTTGGGTTTAAGACAGTGTTTCAGGACCCTTCACAACCTACACATACTCTACAGTCCTTTCTCTTTTTTTTCCCCTGTGTTTTTACCAGTTGTTCTGTGTATTTTAAACTGCAGTTTACATTACTAAAATTGAGCCTGCTTTTTCACACTACAAAGGACCCTCAGAGTTTCTAACCCATCTCTACACTCCATTGAGAATCACTGGTGTATTGCAGTGGTTCCCAAGGGCAGGACTATAATGAAGTTTTCACTGTTCAGTGAAAAAACATAAGAAAAATATGTAGAGTTTGGTGAGATGTTCATAATGAATAATTTGTGAAATATGGCTTTCCTGCATTGTGAAATGTTCATTCTTTGGGGAAACAAAGTTGAGAATAGATCACAGTTTGTTTTACCTGCCCTGTTTTAAAATATTTTACTCGGGAAAAGAGTAGATCACTTTTTATCAAGTTCGATTATTTTTATTATTAAAAATGTTAAAACATTATTAAATATTATTCAAAAAGTTAAAAACTTTTGATTTTAAGTCATCTTTTTAACACTTGTTTCCTTAATCTCATAACCATTAAATTAGCAATTTGACTTTGTGTGTTGAACTATAGTTTGTATGCCAAAACACCAAGGTTCTGAGTTCTATAGAAATATTGTTTATGTATATAAATCCAGTCACAATTCTAAGAAATATGGCCTACCACTTATAACAAACCATGAATATAATTAGATTGCAAGAAAAATAGAACGTCAAAATCCTGATTTATTTTATATCTTAAAATATGGACATTATTTCCTTTCTACTTTTCTATGTTAAAAATTCTTTCATGAAATTAAATACAGTTAACTATTAGGCTTTCTTTAATGTATTTACAAATAATTTTAGCAAAATAATTTTATTTGAGCAAAATTATTTTTATTGAAAGATAAATTTATTTCTTCAGTTTTTTTCAAATATTATTGTTCTTAACAGTGCTTGGTGTGGTCCTGGGCAGAGAATGATGCTTAAAACATGTATTTGCTTTCTGGACTGATTTATATAGCCAACTGTTGGCAATCTGTTTTCCCTTGGTTTCCTTAATAAAATAAGGGACAGTCACGGTGGCTTAGGCCTGTAAACTACCAGTATTTTGGGAGGCCAAGGCTGGTGGATCACTTGAGGTCAGGAGTTTGAGACCAGCTTGACCAACATGGTGAAACTCCATCTCTACTAAAAATACAAAATTAGCCAGGCGTGGCGCACATGTCTGTAATCCCAGCTACTTGGGAGGCTGAGGCAGGAGAATCGCTTGAACCCAGAGGAGGAAGTTGCAGTGAGCCAAAATTGCACCTGAACTCTGGA